GTTATTTTACATTTTGCAACCCTTTTGTTATTGTTAGAATTAATAGCATTTAACAATAATTTAATTATTGAATTAAACTATTTTTGCACTATATAATATAAAATAAATGTGTACAAACGAATTAGTGAAGTGTTAGTGGATATAAAAGTGGAAAATATAGGTGTATAATTCATTTGAAATCGAAAAAATGCGTACTTTAAATAGTTGAAATTTTCAACTTTAAACGTAAATATCTCGAAATATATAAGTTTCCCGCGGCTATATCTATATATATTCTTGATCTGGAGGATCTCCTCTATCCGCCCATACCCATTTTATCCCCGAAAGCCTGGGACGTTATACTAAAGTTTTCCCAACTATTCAAATGTGTTACTTAAAATATATAAACAATATATCTACCGTATTTTATAAGCTAAAGATATTGCAACTTCAACAAATAATTTGTTTTAGAAATCTATATATTTAAAAACTAAGCTAAGAACTGTGTAGGTAATTTTTTATGTAAAGAATTATAATAAAATATTGTACATATTTTCATCGCTGAATGTTGATATAAAAAACGTAAATAAAATATGTGATTAAATAAATGTATACCTTATTTAGAGACAACATTGGTCAGTAGCTATTTCTTAAAATACAAGGTGCGTTCCAAAGTAAACAGGACTTTAAAAAATAAAGACAGAACAAATGGTTTTATCGGCAAAATCAATTAATTTTATTCTAAAGAGTCTCCTTCTGCTTTAATACAGCTTTTTGCACGGTCCAAAAGTATGTCGAGCGACATGTTTAGGCTCGTTGCCCGGTATGGCCGCCAGTATGCCAGTGCAAGCCTTTTAAATGGCCTCCACGTCTGCATAACGCTTTCCTTTCATCGGCAAATGCATTTTTCCGAAAAGGTAGAAGTCGCACGGTGCCATATCAGGTGAATACGGGGAGTGGTGGATTGTTAAAATGTGATTTTTGGTCAAATAATCGGCCACAAGCGTCGATCGATGAGACGGCGATTAATCGTGCAACACACGCCAACTTCCATCTTCGCGATATTCGGGCCGAATACGACGCACCAAACGCTTCAAAACTCCAAGGTAGAATACCGCATTAACGTTTTGGCCGGGTGGAACAAATTCTTTGAGGACAATACCCTTGAAATCATATAAACAAATCAGCATTGTCTTCACTTTTGACTTTTCCAGGCGCGATTTTTTGGGTTTCAACTGATTTCTCATTTATGTCCTCACGACCACTTTGAAAACGTTGAAACCACTCGTGCACTCTGCTACGGGATAGGCAATCATTGCCATAAACTTGTTTCATCAATTGAAACGTTTCGGTAAAAGTTTAACCAATTTTAGAACAAAATTTAATGTTGGCACTTTGTTCGAAGCTCATTTTCGCACCGATGACAAGGATGACATGATGCGAGACTCTTTCGTTTTCGCTGATTTTTCTGTTATTCTCTTTCTCTGATTATTAAAATCAGGGAATTTCGAACAGCTGATGTCAAAAAAGGCGGGATGCCAGAAATAAACCATCTAAAAATACCTATTAAAAGCAGTGCGAAACGAAATTTCAAGGAACGACACCAATACTTTTGAGTAACGTGCAACTAAATTTTATTTGTTAATTTAATTTAAAACGTTCATCATAAAACCATGATCTTTTATTATGACTTGTATTGTTTCTTTGTTATAAATTTTTTTATTTATATGCTATTTTTTTATGTTATATGAGTTTTGAAAAATTTTATAATATAAATACACGTATATAGGGATTTATATGCGTTATATAGGCATACTCGGGGACGAAGCACCTAAAAATAATATCGATATGCAAAATACCCAAAAACTTTTTTTATAATACCCAATCTATTTCCTTTCGACAGTGGCATGATTGGAAAATGTTATAAAAAATGTGGGTTTTGACAGCTCTCTCTCGATTCAAAGAGTCCGCATCATTTCATCCTTGCCGATGACAAAAACGTACTGACACTTAAAACGTAATAACTTCACTTCCAACATATGAATTTTTAATGGAAGCCGATAAAGGATAGCAGATTCTAACGCACTAATCGACATATAGATGGCGCCATTAGAGTTTACTTTGTTACTTTTTTACTGTTTACTTTGGAACGCACCTTCTACATACAATGATAATTTTTGCTTTATTGTTTAAATGATTTATTATGACTTGTATGGCAATGATAAGTTTTGCCTTTTTGATTATATGAATTATTATGACTTATAATATCAAATTCTGTTACACGAGTTATTCTTCCCGTCCACTCAGAGTTAAATTGAATTTTTAGTTTGTCCATTAATATGTTAATTAAAATGGTTAAAAATATTCCGCATATAAACCTATCTTAACATGGTATAATATCATATTTGGTTTACAGCATTAAACATCATTTTATAACCAAAATTGAAAATATTTATAAATAGTTATTACGGCGTTTTTTTTGTTCTGAGCAACGCGTTTAAACCCTCGCCACCCTAACTCACCATGGCCACCATGTTGGTTTTATTGTGAACGTACGCCTCAGAGGTGGCGAAACTATTGTGAATGGGACTTTCGCTACTCCCTTATACCATGAATACTATGGTGTATTGCTTTTTGGTTCTGTTTTTGTAGAATGTAAAAAGGAATTCTTTCAAAAAATACGACTGTACAATGACTATTATCTACAAAGTTCAAGTGGATTCTATTCCAAGTGTAAATAAGAGTGTAATCAGCAGCATTTCGTCTAAAAATATAGTTGCGTATAGTCTGAGTGAAGAATTAGATGCCGGCTGTCACATATATGTATGCGATGTCATATCACCCTGGCAAATATATAGTGTGACGAATACGAAGAATCTGATAAGAGTTTTGGAATGGAATAGCAACGGAGAACTACTATTGGCAGGTTATAACAATGGACTTGTTGAAATATGGTCCACAAATAAGATCCTAAATATCTGGTATCAAGTATATAAAGTAAATTTTGATGGCGAAGATATAATATCAGCAAAATTCTTTCACAACGGAAAGAGTATATACTTTCATTCGCAAAAGAAGGACTTACCAACATATGCTGACAAATTTGAACGTCTGGAGTATCATCCGACGGTAGAACATTTCGGAAGTGCGCCAGCTGAAGGCGTTGTCGTTATCACCTCATCGGGATTAGTAGGCGCATTTATAACTCCACATAAAAAATTAAGTGAAACGAATAGCCATGCCATCGAACTCAAAGGAGTTACTCAAAGTATAGGTCTTTCTCGCTTTTACATATCGCTGTGCAGCATGTCTCATTGTCCTAGTAGTCAGCTAAATGTTGCACTAACATACAGTTGTAGACCCAAAATTGTTTATTGTTTTAAAGTGGCTTTAAATATGGATAATGACAATTTGTTTCTAAAATGTGAAGCTCTTCCTAGTATATTCTTTAATGCGGTCAATTACAAACAAATCTCTCACATTGGTTGGATTTCTTCGAACAAAGAAGACGTTCTGTATATCGGATATAATACTATAGAGGGGAGTTTGCTGGAGCAGTGGCACTTAAGCAAGAAACATCAAGCCGTTCATAAATTACTCCAAAAAAATAAGGGAGATTTCGTGCAGAGTGAAACGTGGGAAAACATTGCTAAGGTTCCATTTGGAATTGGTATAGCCAATGTGTGCAGTTCTAAACTATTAACACAGACTACACAAATATTTGTCGTTTTAAAAGATAATACCATACAAATTGTCGAACCTGGTTTGAAAAAGGTGGCTTTGGTTATATCCGACCGATTAATGTCTGAAGATCGGTATAGTCCCTGCAAATTTGTGTCAGCAGACATAACACATATGAATCAATTACTTGTTCTCTTCGATAACTACGGTCAAATGTACGCCACGCAAGTAACGAATCCTGCAGCAGACAAAAATTACAAATTGAACACATTTTCCTTACAAACATCGCTGTTAGAGTATTGTATAATAACTGGTGTCGATGCAAGCGACATACTTATGTTAAATTTAAGTAATTTGGAAATACTTATTGAAAAGTTAACAGAAAATTTTACAAAACAATCTACAATAACGCGACACTTCTATTATTCTAATTTCTTGTGTATGAAGAGCAATATGTGTAGAATTCAATCAAGACAACAAGATTTTGATAATTTAATAATTTTGCATACCATATCCATAACGTTCAAAAGTTTACTACGCCCGGCAGATCTAAGTTGTCAGGACAAGGGTCCTGGGGATAATTTAGCTATGATACTACAAGATCCATCTACAGATATAGACAAAGTATTATTTAGTTTAGATGGCAAAGATTTCACTGTTGAGCCTTTAACATTGCAAAGTTTGCAACAACTCATACAATGGGTATCTGATTTGGCATTAAATATTCTGAAAAAGCTTCCGAATGAAGTTATTAAAGCGAAGATGAGTAAAAAACAAGGGTACGACATTAGCAGAGACAGCGTAGCTATTAATAGCATAAGAGAGCTATTAGTAATGACGCGAATATGGGGTCTCTTAAATCCACAATGCTTACCGACATATACAAAATCGGTCGAAAACATTGATGTTTTAGCTACCTTGTTTAGACTTTTGACCCGTTTGGCACAAAATACTACAGAACCCGATGACTTTTTATTAGATGAATGTAGTCTTTTATCTACTCAAGTCCTCATTCCTCAAAAACAATTTAACAATCCAGCTACATTATTAAATAATCATCTGCCACTTTACAAATCATATCCATTTATATTTGTGGCATCGATAGAGCCAGGTTGGTTGAAGGACGTCAATTACGAAGAAGTTGTATTTATTAGCGATATGAAGGATGGCGTCAGTAATCTGCACTTGGGAGCAAAAGTAAATGCACTTAGACACTGTATAAGATGCGGATTGATAAATAGTTTACTAAATTTATCTAAAACTTCTGCTATGAAAGCCTGGTGTCAGAGATGGTTATATTGCCATTGTGGGGGTTATTGGAAAAAATTGTAAACAAGAAATTAAAAACAAAATAAACGAATTTATTTCTAAAAATAAAATAATTTTTTCATATTCTAAGTACTGAAGAAGAAAATATGGTTTTAGTACAACATGTGCATCTTACTTAAATTATTTAATTAATTATATCCTAGCATTTGATTGTAATCTGATGGAGTTCGAAAATACCGATTTAATAACAAAGATGTTCTGTTCCCCAGGCGATAAGTGCAATTGTTCCATGGATTAAACCTACTCATAATTTCTTCCACATCTCCTTTGTTGAACTTATGTTTAGACGATTGGAAAGGCAATTGCGGTTCATACACAGCAATGTATCTGTAATCGTTAATAAAAATTATTCTTTCTTCGTATTTATTGAACAAACTTACTTGTCGTTCGCACCATAAATTCGTAAAGGATATCTAGCAATAAAAAGGCGTATTGCAATTGTCACAGCAATAAATCCCAACGAAAAATACCAAAGGTCATCTGGATGTGACACTAAACCCATAGACTCGAAATTGGCTGTTGAAAGTTTATACTCATTCGTTACGGTGTATATTGTTGCAGAAGAAATTATTGCTGCTGCCATTGTAGATATATACTTTGCAACTGTAACATACGTTTCCATTGGTGCCCGGTATATAAGTTCATACTCCGATGGCACACTGTCTTTTTTTATAAAGAAATCACGGTTTTTCATAACTGTTTTGTTATTATGAAAGTGATTACAGAGATTACGACCAACAAAACTACTAGGATTACATTTAATTAAATGATTCCTATTCTTAATGATATTTAGTGATTTTGAAAATCTGTGCTGGAACAACAGCAAACGCATTTTAATAAATAAAACCTAATTCAATTAAATATTTATCCTATTTTATAAGTTATACTATATACTGTAATAGAGCTGCAAATCAGTCGAATGGACTATCGATAGTTTTTGTCTCACTATCAATATTGTAACGGATTTCTCTATAAATCGTCTGCCTATAACTCACTCTTGAGTTCGATCACTAGATTGTTAAATTAAAGTGCCAATTTAATGGCTATACACTAATATTTATTCCAACAACTTAACACTTATTGCTCGATATTCGAGTTTATAACTTATTGCTTATGGCTTATTTGCTTTTTACACGGCAACACTCTAATTAGAACTGTGTCTGTTGCACAATCCGGCAGCCCTTAGAAGTCGCGAAAAGACGCTAGTAGGCAAAAGCATGCTCGGGGAGATGTGAGGGTATCTGTTTTTATGAATGAAGCGAGGTTGCTTGTTAAAAGTACGCCTGCGTTCATGAATGAAAATGTTGTTGTTGTATAATTTAATATAAATTTGGGCTTCGCCTATTTGGCTGACATATTGACTTGTGACGATTGTTGTTTTTGTAGAACAATGTTTGTAGTTTTTGCGGGTGACATATTTACATGTGTACGCACACACATATGTAGGTTGGTTTGTCTATGCATTATTTGTTCGGCAACTTTATGTCTACATACATATATGCGTGTACATATAAATCAATGCGCGCACATATAGTGTATTGATAAGTGATAAAATCATGATTTGAATTTCTGAGTGCGTACATTCAAATACATACGTACATACATATGACTATATAAGATTAATATGATTAAAGATGTACATATGTACATATAAATATATTGTAATAAATTTAATCACTATTATTATAATACAAAATATTTATTAGGAATGTATATTAGGTAGAAACTAAATAAAATTATTAAACGCCCAAATTGACTATAAATATTATTTCGAAATTCCATAATTTAATAGATTTTATCAGTTTTGCATGCATTCATAAAAATTCGCAAAATGATATTCATATCAATAAATATGTTTGCATATAAGCGTATAAGAATATAAGCCAAAAGGCTAACATGCAGCTGTAATATCAAAGCAAGTCTCTGAGCATAATTTTCATTGAATGCTCAGCTCTGTTCACTCGCTACTGTTAAAATTTCTCCTTGTTAGGTTTTGACAATTCACACACATATACGTTCTCTGATTAAAGTCCCAATTTAATGGCTATACATTTATCTTTATTCCAACAACTTAACACTAATTGCTCGATATTCGAGTTCATAGCTTATTGCTTATAGCTTAATTGCTTTTTACACGGCAACACCCTTATTAGAACTGTGTCTGCTGCACAATCCGGCAGTCCTTATATAGTAAATTTTTAACAAAAGTTCGCTACTAGAACATTCTGATACTACGAATTCGCTGTCTAGTTGCTTCTGGCAGTTTATCCAGAGAACGTATATAATAGAGAAGGTTCAATTGCGGACCAGCGTGTGAACTGTCAAAACCTAACAAGATTTTATTAGTGAATTTCACCAAATCTGGCTCTGAAGCAGAAATTTTAACAGTGGAGAGTGAACAGAGCTGAGAATTCAATGAAAATTATTCTCAGAGACTTGCTTTCATTTTACAGCCGCATGTTACTCTTTTGGCTTATATTCTTATACGTTTATATGCAATCATATGAATATCATTTTGCGAATTTTTATGAATGCTTGCAAAACTGATAAGACTCTAATTAAATTATGTAATTTCGAAATAATATTTATAGTCAATTTGTACTTTATATTTATACTTTCCTAATAGAGATTAAATTTATTAGAATATATGTATATGTACATATGTACATCTTTTATCATATTAATCTTATATATAATCATATGTATATCTGCACAAGCGCATTTGAATGTGCGGATTCAGAAATTGAAATCATAATTTTATCATATATCAACATTGTTTTACAAAAACAACAATCGCCAAATAGGCGAAGCCCAAATTTATAGTAAATTGCACAACAACATTTTCATTCATGAACGGAGGCGTACTTTTAGCAAGCAACCTCGCTTCATTCATAAAAACAGATACCCTCACATCCCCCCGAGCATGCTTTTGCATACAAGCTTCTTTTCACGACGATGGCAAAAGCTAAAAATCATAAATTGAACAAATTTCTGATATTCCCTCTAGAAGGGAAAAGTGACAACCCCTCAAATATGAGTATTAAAATATTTTAGAATAAAAGTGACAACATAGTATATTTGTCGATTTACAATTCAAGAAACTTTTTAAAGAAATAATTCAATATTCCTCTGATTTATGTATACAGTAAGCCCCGGTTAAGTATCACTCCTCCAATCCCTTTTATCTGCCTGTGTCTTGCTGCATCTCACGTTTTTTTTTTTCTTAATTTTTTAAGGAAAACGGTAATTTTTTTTAAATACATAGAAATTATTTTTTTGGTACCAGTCTCTTAAGTACCACAATCGCTTATGTACTACAAAGCACAAAAAATCTGCAACTTTGGTTTTGGCACTTAACCGGGTTTGACTGTATTTGTCAAAGAATGTGCGTATGTAAATATGCGAATTTTTTGTACACACATCTGCCCGTATATATGCACATGACTTGTTGACTTTGTTTTCATTTACGCATGCCACGTTGTATATGAATAAGGGTTGATTTTGCACTTGTCATATGCGATGTATGTTTGTAAAAGTGTGTATGGTTCTGTTGGTCAAAGTTATGTAAGTTTTTTTTTTGCACATTGGCATATGGGGCCGTCCATAAATTACGTCATCGATTTTTTCAGATTTTAGACCCCCCCCTTCTCCCGAAATTGACGTCATTACTAGTTTTACAAAAAAAAACATTGCAGATTTGAGAAAAATATGGTATTATATGATTAAAACACGTGGTTATAAAATCACCTTTTATTATTATACTTTGGCAATAATCATTGATATAATATACTACTAAACTACTTTTTTACTTTTTCTTTTTTCCCAAGGAGCTTTCATCCATTCTTTTAAATTCTGGATCACGGGTAATATCTCCATTTCCTCCCGATATTCGGTTTGGCTCGATTCATCCACGTCTTCAACCCATTCAACGTCAAGTGCCTGTCCCGTTACGCCGTCATGCAACTGTTGAAGGACTTCTATTCCTCGCCGTCCCAAGATTCGAGCACTACGACGAGGGGCCGCAGGACCTCCTGTTTCCTGTTCCATTAAACACTGAAACAAAAAAAGACTATAAGCACTTTATCGCTAAAATACTTTTTTGTACCTATGTAAAACAATACCTGATCCGGTGAACCGTGTACATAATCTTTCATATTTTTTTTGTGCTCCTTCATGGAGGTTTTTGAAGCAAAGTAAGTACCACATTTCGAACAGCATCTTTCTATTAGCTCGCCTTGTAACGTAGGACAGTAGAAGTCATATGGAAGTTTCTTAAAATGTCCAAGAGGTACATCCACTTTCAGTGCTATCTGAAGGTAAAGAGGACAGAAGCTGGCGTCCTCTTTTAAAGGAGGCGCTGCTTCCAGATTTGATGTAAGCAGCAGGGGTGGCGGCATAAATCCATCAGGGAGGATCTTGCGTAATTTGCTACGTGACATTGTGCAGCAAGCCAGATCTGAGCATTTGGAAATCTGTAACATATATTGAGACTCCTTAACGTGCTTGGTGTACCATTCAGGTCCAGGATGGGTGCCAATCTCCGGATCTGGTTTATCTGGACAGATATACTCTGCCACTACGCTTTCCCCGTTTATGACCATCTCGTTCCAAACGTTAGCAAGCGTTTCCCCGGCACATTTAAAATTCTTTTTCTCTAAATCGACGTCTTTAGTGCGCCGCTGGGTATCGAGATGACTGCCAAATTTATCGTGTGGAATTATTAATCCTGCAAGCTGGTGACTGAGTGGTGCCATTCTCCTTTCAACACGGTTAAACGCACTGCGTCCAGGTGCATTGCATGCTATTGCAATATAGTCCAAATTGTGGTCCAAAAAATGTCGCACAGCGTAGGCAATGACTTTTTGGTAACGGGGATTTTCGTCAGGACCTCCGTCAACAGTGAAAATCAGCACTGGCTTCACCACCCCCGAGGGTGTTTTCAAAATACTCTTAAAGTTGTCAAGAGTCAATAATCTCTCGAAGTCTTGGGCGTGTGTTGCTGCAGTTGAAGACGAGTGTTTTCCACTCCTAATTGCTATGTATATTGGGCCGCTATAGGACACTCCGTCAGGCTGGCCAATCGGCTTTGTTTCATTAACCCGGCATCCGGCATAGACACTTGGGATCAACTTGTGTCCGGGTCCGACAACGAAGGTATGGTCTGGTAGGCGGACTAAATAGTCCATATGCATCATGAACGGTGCTTGCTTGTTAGCAGCAGTTAGGCCGATTGGTACCCTTTCTTTGTCGTCCTGAGATATAAAAGCTGAATCATCTCCAATCAGAGATGCAAGACATTCCAGTCTTCGGATGGAAGCGACGCAGAACGCAGTATCTGGGTGAGACTTATGATAATCTTCTTGAGCTCGAATCAAACGCACTGGAGCTGTTTTAACATGTCTTTTACCCTCCAATGAACTGGATTTGCGGGGTATGAGTCTTAAATATGTAGCTGAGCGGAAAATCTCAAAATCAAAACCTACATCAGTGAGTTTTTTGTGTAGGTCATCCAAGGTGCGACAAGAACGAATTATCTCGCTTCTACGTTTCTCATCCACTGAACTTCCATACATGGCGATTTCGGCAATAGTTTTTATTAAATTGTCTTCATTTTCCAGCCGTGGGCGACCGGGATGCTCGTGTAAAGTTATTATCGATTCTGCTCCAGGATTTGTAGCTACCAAAGCTTGAAAAGCTTCTTTTTTTTTCCTATATTTTTTTTGATGCTGTTTGGTTACTTTTTAGTTTCTCTAAATTCTTAGTTTCCTTTTTTATTGATTTCTTCGCCTCCTGAAGCTCAGCATATCCACTTTCAGTCAGTAATCCCCGATTTTCGGACTGTTCCAATTTGCTAATTGTTACTTGCAATGCAGCTATGCAAGTCTTGCTTGCATCTTCTGCGTGGGCCTTGTAGGTACGCGATTTCTTCGTAGTGCTGCTTTCATCCTCATCAGATGATAGAGTTTGATGAACCCTTTTCTGTTGGCAAGCCGCTTTAATGTCGTCATCCGAAATGTTGACCGCATACCCTTGCTGAGCGCTACCACAATCAGCACCGATTGTGAGTGGAAGAATAGCTTCTTTGGATCCACCCTGAAATAAAAATCATTCTAGGATCAAATACTGAACAATATAACAGTTCTTAAAATCTTGGGCAAAGCAACTGGGTAGTTAAGTCTATTTGAAAGAATTAATAATTATTTACAGGTTGGGCTATAGCGTTATCTTCCAGCACAGTTGAAGATCCGAGCGAGGAGGTAGTTGGGAGCAGTGAGGACGAAGGAATCGATGCTGGAGACTCGCCAGAAAACGGCGCTATTGAAGTGCTTGCTTTTGTTTTATCCTGAAAAACCCAAAATTAATAAAGGTCATGTTAAATAGGTCAGTCTATAATTCTCAGAATATACTTAGGCCAGTTTTCAAAATTCTGTTGGTCTATGGTGTAAGATTGAACGGTTCCGAACAATTATATCTGGAACAGTTTCATCATAAAATCATAATTTATAACACACATAAAATGTACGTTCAATCGCTGAGTTTGAAAGAAAATATTAGGTTGAGAGGCTCTTATTTCTTTTGAACAGTCAAATACGTAAAAATAAAATATTTAAATAGGTTTAAGTATTTAATGACAAAATTTTTTTAGACTAGCTTTAATTCCGTGGTACTATTATACTATGTTTAAAATTAATACTAATACTATTAAAGTGAAACTTTTATTACATCGTCTCAAATTTTTTGGGCTGCGTTTGCATGTCGTTTTTGTAATGCTCTATACATATGTGTATATGTACATACATATGTGCCGAACAAATAATGCATACACAAACCTACGTACACATATGCGTACACATGTAAATACGTCACCGGCAAAAATTACAAACATTGTTCTTCAAAAACAAGAATCGTCTCAAGTAGCATAAGCAGCACACACACATGTCAATATGACAGCCAAATTGCTATAGCGACTCACGCGACGACAAAGCGTCACAACATTGTGTTGTTGGTAGAAAATCCGAGCTGTTTCGGAAACAACAAACGAACGATTGCCGATTGTCACCGCTTCCCTTGCCGCTCTAACAGCTTTGCCAATAAACCATCGTAAATATGTATGTTTATGCATGAGCATGCATATATGTATATCGACGCAGATTTTTGCGAGCCATATAAAAATATTTTTAAATTGTAAAATATTTTAAATCGACAAGAGCTATGCCATTTTTGTCACTTTTTCCTGCGTTTGCCGGGTTGACACTTTTCCTTTCAAGAAGGAACATCAGAAAGTTGTTCAATTTATGATTTTTAGCTTTTGCCATCGTCGCGAAAAAACGCTTGTGGGCAAACACATGCTCGGAAAGATGTGTATAACGTTTACTTTTATGAATGAGTCAACTTCGCTTGTTAAGAGTAAGCCTGCGTTCATGAATGAAAATGTTGTTGTTGTGTGATTTACTATAAATTTGGCTTCGACACATTGATTCTTTGAAATGAAACCAAAAAAACGTGAGATTTCGCATGAAGCAATTAGTATACATATTTACATAATTTTCCTTTCTGCTGCATTAGCAAGTTCCGTCCGCTGTTTCTTTGGGTCAAATTCACTCTTCAGTTTATGCCATATTTCATCGCAAAGCTTTTGTGCGGCTTGAGGGGTTTTATCGAAATATCGTCTCTTCACAGCAGAAAACAATCGCTGGTGCACTTTTTGTAAGTCAATAACCATCGCCAATAAAAATCTGCGCGGATAAACGTGTTGCATCGTTCACGTTCGTACTCAGATTGACAGCGAACGCAGGCCGTAGGTCCGCAGCGGTGGCGGTGCGCGCCGAAGACAAAGGAAGCCGACTTTGTTTAAACAGCGCCGATTTCTTTTATTCTCCGAGTCGCCGCCAATCTTCGTTTAATAAACACAGTGTCGCATACAAACTATATTCATAGGTACGATGTTATTTATAGTTTAAAAAAATAATGTAGACATGCCTTGACCTTGTAATAAATAAATAAATAAATAATGAGCTCAATAATTAATACCATTAAATACTTGCAAAATATCACAAGAACATTATCTTTCCTTAGTATGAGACATGTATTTAAGTATAAGTATAGTATTAATATTTACTTTTATTAATTATGTAATGTTGTAGTTATTATTTAAGTATTGTGTTTATTAGTATGCTTAGATCTTTAAAACTACGCAACGGATTTTGATGCGGTTTTTTTAAATATATAGACTGATTCTTAAAAAAGGTTTATATGTATAATACATGTAAGTACCACGGGAAGAAATTTCTTTTTAGAAATAATCTTTTTGTACGTGAAAAATAAACTATAAATAAATAAATAAGAATGACGTCAATTTCGAAACGCCCCCCCCCCCATCTATCATTTACCGTCATCCGCAGGATTTTTTTAAAGCAACATTTTTGCAGTCTAAATCATCGAAGAGATCGTTCATTCTCTTCACAAATAACTGCGTAGGCTTGACACATTTTTTTAAATATTCGTCAGAGCCGAATAGATTTTGGCTATAGGCCATTTCTATGCCAGCCGCGACCGAATTACTCAGAACTTGAGTTGCACGTTTTACAGACATTTTTTCAAAGGCGCTGGGATATATTATATGTGGGACTCTGTTAGTTTTGGACAAATCTTAAAATGTATATTGCTCTGATCGATAGAGTATAGTTTTTTAATAATATTGAAACTGACTATTCCATCGGGACTTGAAATATCATTTTTCATTAACGTATTGCGGACAGACTTAAATAGGTGGCAGTAATCATATAAGCAATACACTTTAGAACCTTCGTGCATGTAAAAGGGGTTTTCATCACTAATTTGCATTAAATTGAAAATTGAAGAGTTTGGTCCCCCCTGATCGCAGACTAAAGCCTTTACGTTAAGGCCAATCGACTTCAGTGCTGCGATATTTTTATTCAAAATTTCAAATAAATTTTGACTTTGAAATCCACCTTTGGAAATATAGTAAGAAAACACATATTTCCAACTTGAACTCAACCCTTTTACCATAAAAAAACAACATTTACTACCTATTTTCATTTCGCGATGGCCTTCCCCGTAATCTACAAACCCATCAATGATATCTCTAACTCGATTATAAGTTAGATCGGACTTTATGATGATTTCATCAAATAAGAGAACGCAATTACGTTCTAGAACGGACATATTTTTGGCAATTTTGCCTAAATTTCCCATGACATTGGCATCGACGCCAGGGACAACATACCTAATGGAGCGCCATCTCAAAAGAGAGTTCTTGCTTGGTAAAGCGAAACCTAAATCGTCACGCATGAAACTGTAAGATTTGGTGGACATATAGTTAATATTTTGTACCAATGTCTTTTCATTGTCATTAAAGAAAGTGCGTTTTGTGACGATCATCCTAGCGAATGTTACAGCATCAGAGCTTGAAGTTTCATCCGCAACTATTGCACGATCTTTAAGTTCTTTATACTCTGTTTCAAGCTGCTTTTTAACCCCCTCTAACTCTTCGATTTTTTTATTAAGTTTGAGCGCATTACTTTGATAAAACCGTGCGGATCGAGCAAAGTGTTCGCGGCTGTCTAATGCAGAGCCTACCTCGTTATTTTGTGTCCCTAATCCTAATCTTTCTTCTTCTAAAATGGAATATTCTTCGAATTCCCTCAAGGTTATGTCGTCCTCCCTATCTCCTACAGCTACCTTAGGACGTTCATCAGTGTTAGTGACGGGCGGGCACACCCAATCAGAGTAATTACTAGAAGAGCTACGATTTAGTTCTGACTCTAATCTGAAACATGGAATAGCCCCAGGCAATAGTTTGAATCTAGAGACGTACTCTGGGTCAACATGGTTACGACAAATAAATAGAGTATCGGAAGGCGACACGACTATGTTGCAAGCCTCTGCCCAACGAACATCGTCCTTTTTAGGGAACTCAAACAGCGTCGCCTGCCTAGAAACGCAGCTGCTAATGCAGCATCTTCTTCGGGGCAGTGGACCCGTCCACAAATGCCTAGGTGCTTCGTCGTAACCTAATTACATAAAAAATTTATATTCAACACCTGTTCATGTTGTATGTATAAACGTATATAATAATTACATTAAAATGTAAATATTATAACATATAATATTATTATTGCATTTATTTTATATAATATAATTTTAGCTGACTCGAACTAAAATATATCAGTAAAACTAACAAGTAAGGAAGAGTTAAGTTCGGATGTAACCGAACATTTTATACTCTCGCAAAGTATACCATACTCGTTTTAGATTTCACCCATTTTCATTTATGTATATATAACCCTATATACAGCAGTTTTAAAAAACCATGGATACTTCACTAAATATTAATGTAACACCAATAATAAATATTATTGTTTTACCATCATCGCACATCATTGTACATACTTATATTAGAAGTATCAGCAAATATACTAATGTTTATATATGTACATATGTTAATATATACTCTCAATATTATACTCTCAATATACATACATGCCTACATACACATACAACTGTATGGATGTAATATATATAGTTTTTCTAATCCTAATAAAGTTAAACAAGCGATATTTATATAAACTACTCTATATAATTTTATATTATTGAAAGAAGAAGAACTTACCAAGGTTGAGGGTAGGCACAGCATGTGCCTTCAATTTTCTCACGCCCACTGCACTTCGCTCGAAGTGTTTAATGCAAACGAATGTATTGTGGGCGGGTAAATCCAGCGGTGGTGGGATTTTGAGGTTTTCCACCCACTTTTGGAGGTCCTCCTCGTTTTTGGGAAACGAAAACAATCTTTCCGATTCTTCAATACACTCGCGAACGCGACACTTCCTTCTCACTGACGTTTTCAATTTATATTGTATAATTAATAAAAATAGTAAACCCACAACGGAAAAACGGAACGAATTGATCTACTCGCGTCGAAAATCTTTTAAAACTAAAATTCCTTTGACTAAAATTCCGTTGACCCTTCCTCCCTTTCATTCATTTTGGCGTAATTTCCCCACTAAAACATATATTAACTACAATTAGAAAAAAATCTAACTACTTGCGTTTTGGCGCAATTTCTCCACTAAAACATATATAATATACAAGTACTTTTCCAATCAAAAACCACCTGCATATATTGTAAACACACATGTATTAACTTCTGTGGTTTGTTTTGGCGGGATTTCCTAACTAAAACATGTATTAGAAAAAGTTAGAAAAAAGCACTTGCATATATGGTTATACATATATATATATATTAGCTTTTCCCTTCATTGGCTGTTTCTCACATATATTTTTCATTTATTAGCATTGTTTTTCTCATTTAACATTTAAAATGCTCAATTCTGCTATTTTGCTCTCCGCAGGGGTAAAATTCTGGTGAAATCAGCTTATAATTTGTTTGTGGTGAAATGCACT